TGCTCAGGTCCCTTCTGACCCTACTAACTATGAAACTATTGTGTTACTTATTTCTACTGCTAAAATGCAATAGCTTTAAAATGTTAATAGAACAGTTATACCAACAGTTATCCAGATATACAATATGCATAGTGTTTTTTTGCCTTCAGAGGATTTTCCAATCTTTGCAACAGTCTGGTGAGGGAGGCAAGTAGCAGACAAGGGGCAATGAAATAGTAGGAAGAGATATAGTGATGAAGAGTTTTGGGACCTCAGAAAAAAATGAAAGTTTTGTTAGGGAGACGTAAGAGAACTTACACTCCCCATTCCTATTGCTGCCCCCTGCCCACTGAGACACCAATTTACAGTTGTGTAGGAAACATTGATTACCTCTGTGCTTCCTAGTTTTTCTAATTTTGGGTGGAATTGAATCTTGGAATGGCTTGAGAAACATCAGCACTATTTAGTATCTGCAGTATTCATTCTATGTTAATTAAGTCCCAGGGGTGGGGGGAGGTAGAAGTGTTCAGGATTGGAATTCGGAGCTCCCTGGTAAGAGGCAGGAGAATTTTCCTTTTCTTGGAGGTAAATAATTTATTGACAGAAAAATGCAGACTGGAGCCAGCTGAGACTATTTGCAAATTCAAGTTGAATTCAGCAAATAATTTTGGTTGAAACAATAAAAATAAAAAATAAAAACAGAAATGTCAAAACAGCCCAAAACATTTCCAAAATGTTTCTTCTTTTTAAGCCCAATCCATAAAGTACTGAAGTGCCATTAACAAAACGGAGGATGATGAGAGGTTGGTGTTGGTTCCCTTCTTCCTAGTAGGTAGAGCACTCATTTGGGAGGTTGGACCCTGTCGTTCATATCTCTTCTTAACCTGACTTGAAACCAAGTGCCCTAACTATTGTACTATGACTCTGTTCTGGGATGGGTTGTCCTCAACCTCTCCTCTTAAAACTGTTATATTTAGTATCACTCATTGTCTATTAATTGGCCCAGTGAGTCTGAGTGTGAATCGACAGCCTTCTGACTGGGATACTTGCCTAAGATGTGGAAGAGGTACCTGTATTTGAGTCTGTGTTTCAAATCAGAAAGGGAGGGAGTGTAAACCTAGGTCTCCCACACTCTGGAGGAATGCCCTGATAACTTAACCATAAAGTCAATGGTATCAACACCCTGTTCTACTCAACTTTGTAAACAGCACCTAAGGGCACTGACAGACATGCATTCAAAGTACTTCAAATGCTAGACTGCTTCAGGGCTGACATGGTTCAGATTTGCGGCTTGCTCATCATGCTCCTGGAGTGTTTCAAAGCGGTTGCAAAGGCATGTAACAGAACAGCTATCAGGAAGGGGGTTGGGGAGTACAGGTGGAAAGGTGTGTGGTGGGCATAGGGGAAACAGAGCACTGCAGGATGCCACAGGACTGCTGGAAGGTGCAGGTGTCATAGGCAGTCCTCTTACTTTCAAAGGTCATTTTTTAAGCACTTGGGCCATTTTTTACATTATTTTGTTGATCATGAATGCCTGTATCCTTCCTGTTTAGAGTGCTTTGAAGTTACTTGAAGCATTTATACCAGCATGTCCATCCATTGGCCACAACCCTCTTGTGAACCTAGCCCTTTCTTTCCAAATTAGCTTTGCTTTTGTTTGCTTGTTTGTTTTGGAAAAAGCAGGTTAAAAAGCCTGATGGGTTTTTTTACTCCATTTGGTAAAAAATCAGTTTCAGACTGACGTAACAGGAGCGTTTTTTAAAAAGCCAGTGAACCAAAATAAAAAATAGGCTTTTGCATCCCTCTAGTTCCTATCCCCTGTTTTGTGTTCAAACTATAGCCTTATAATTTATTTGTGAATAATTTTCAGTTAAAACGTCATTTAAAGAGCTGTTTTTTTTATGTACCTTCTGGGGTTTGCCTGGGGTAGTTTTGTTATATAAATGACATCTTTGAGTTGTCAGTAATAGTTTAGCTACTATAACAGCAAGCTGCTCTCTTCTTTTCACATTACAGTCCTTGCTCAGGGCTTTGTATTTGCTGATTAATTTGTCTATGGTGAATGAGAGAGAGTTGTTGTAACAGAGACTGTTCATCCTTGCCTGTACTACAGCCCCTGAGCTAGTTGTGAAGGTAAACCCGGGAGGAAATAATTGCAAATTAGAAGGCAATGATACCTCCCTTAGCACTGAAAGTCAGGCCTTAGTTGTGTTTGATTTGACTTTGGTATCTTCCTAACTGAGGAGAAGAAGAATTTAGGGATTTTACCAGGAAATTTTCACAGCAGACTGGTCTGCGTATGTGAAGTATAGGCAGGCTGGTTCAAATGAATTATTGCAGCCTCAAAAGACCCAAGCCTTGCCTTTTGGCACTCCTTCAAAACTGGCCAGCTGGGCCCACTGAGACGCTTCCTAACTACTCCATTCTTCCAGCACGCTGCTGCAGCCTGAACGCCTATCTATAAGGAGTATCCCCCAGTGGTGATTCCCTCTAGTCTACATTAACTCAGTGATTGCCCTAACTGCTGAATCATAAGATACAATTAGTTTAGCATGACTTAGTCTCTTAACCTCAGTCCTTTCCCTTCTCAACTGGTCCGAGATGAAGACCTAGTCATCAGGTCTTCAGCTGAAGTTACCTCCTTCAGCAGGCCCTTATGTTTTCCAGGCACTTTGCCCATGCCAAAATACAATGTTATCAGGTCAAAGTAGAGATGGGTCTGGATCCAAAAGGAACCACGTTTTAGGGAAGTTCAAGTCCAAATCCTAACTCTGCAGCCTAGGTGTATCACTAAATCATACTGTTCAAATTACATAGGACATAATTTCCATACATTTCTACTAAAGGTGCAGAAAAGAAGCAAAAGCCCTTCATTTCTATATGGAATCTCTCCGATATCCCAAATTTGTCAGTAAAGACATTTGAGCAGAACTTTCTCTAAATTCTGGCCTCCAAATTTAACTGGAGAAGAACAAGTCCATCATTAACCCATTCTCAAAACTCTGAAACCACTCCCTTCTCTTGTTTGCATTCAGAGTAGGGGCATCAGGATATCAAAAACCATCTTCAACAGAAATTGCAATAAACTCATTTTCCCAGACCAAAGGGGTTTTCAGTAGTTTTTTTATTGCATTTTCTCAGTAAGCTTAGGTGCAGGTGAGAAAGTGGGCACAGAAGAAAATTAAGCCAAACCTGTCCATAAGTGTGAGCCCTGGAGCTAGCCACTGATCTCAGTGAGGTTCACTGAAGAGTTCAAATTAATGTTCAGATTCAAAATTGTGGTTTCCCTATAGGCTTTTTAATCTGGGCTGTCATAGGATATGGGGGCCAATACTATTGACTGATTGGTACTTGCAAGCTATGATATGGCCCAGGAAATAATCTATAGATTTGAGGTCAGGTTTTCCATTAAAACGACGGGAAAATCATGTACAAGTTGGGGTGGGAGAGTGATAAATCAACCAAACTAGGAAGCTCCAATTAAGAAATAAGATCTGGGCTGGAGGGGTAAGTGACTCTAGGGATCTTTAGTGCAGGTTTGTTGAGATTGAAGTTGACTCTTTCTGACCTGACTACCATGACCCCAAGTTTTCATCTTCTGCTTTATTACTCCATTACTACTTACAGCTGTAGTGACAGGCTGTCTTATTATGGTGGCATCAGTCAATGCTAGCAGCAGTTTAGCAACCCTGTTTATGAAGTGAAATTCCCTGACAATGTATACCTTACTGCCTACACACACACACTTTATATACTCAGTAAGCAAGCAGTGGAAGAACAGAAAATGCAGTGTGTTGTTTTGGAGTACTGTGATAGATCAATGATAACATTTTAAGTCAAAGGGCTTTTAAACAGGCATAGAACTAGATTTATATGTCTAAGATATGCCTTCCCCCTTCTTGCATAGGCCAAGTTGAAATATCCCTGCTCTTTGGACGTTCTACCATAGTTTTTTAGCATTTAACAACCCCTCAAGATCTGCCCAAGTCTAAATACCAATCTCTTCCAATTTCCTTATTTCCTTCTTTCCTTCTCCTTCCCTTCTCCTTCCCCACAGACAAATTCAGTTTTTGGAAGCCAAGTTCAATGCAGGATCAGCAATACTGAAATCAAAGCTTGGTCAGAAAAGTCCCAACAGCAACTGCTGCTTTATTTCCAAGCTGCCAGAAGGGACCAGGAAGAAGCAATTAATGAAGTAAATTGAGCTTTGCTGGACATTATGGCTTCCTACAACACTTGAAACTTAGTTCAGCATGAAGTGAACATCTGTGACCCCTTTCCTTGCTGATAGTCCTGTATCTGATAATGCAAATAGAAAGGTATTTAAAGGCCATAACATTTTAAAAGTCTTACTTGATTTCCGTGTGTCCTCCTGCTTTTCGGGCAATCTGAACCAGCTCTTTCCCATATCTCTCTTCTGCTTGTGCTCTGTTAACAAAATACCTTAGTTATTTTCTCTTACAGGAAACTTTGTTGACAAGAATATATTTATGACTGAATTTGAGAGGCAAAATATTGGCTTGTAGCTTTATTCTCTCACCCTAGTTCTAATGCTATTTGGAGCTCTAAGATATACCAGACATTTTCAGCAGGGATAGAGAGATTATGTGACATGGCTGACCACAGTAGCAGAAGCCTGGACTGAGAGCATGTCTACACTGGATCTATGCAACTAATCTAAACTGCTGCTGAAAAATAAGACCGACTCACCTGCTCCTGTTCCATTCAGTCCAAACCCAGAACATAGGTCATGAGGGCTTTCCAGGACTACCTTCCCATAACTACTCATGAAGTCCCAGTGTGTGCCCACAATGGGATCATATATTTGGCCCTTACCAATATAGACATACCCACAATGACCCAGAATGCCACTTCCAGTCCTATATTCCTAAGTACAAAACAACCTAATTTCTCTCCTCTTTCCTCCTTGTCTCCTTGGAATAAACTTCATTTGCTTAGAGGGAATGCAGATTAGTATTGAATCTACCTTTCCCTTTTTTGCTTTGCTCACAATTTGACTGAAGGGTCGAGATGTAATCGAGTGACCGACATTTGTATGGTTGGTGTACAAACTGGTGATCTTTACCTCTGTACAAAAGTAATGAATCACCATCAGATGATTCTTGGGTATAATTGCTGCAAGCGTTTGAGTCCCATTTTTTAAAGAGACTTGGGTTTCTAAATGTCTATTGAAAATGGGCTTAGCCGCCTCAGTCACTTAGGCATTTTTAAAAATTATATCTTTTATCCAAAAGGAAGTTCTAGACAAGGATCAGGCCAAACAAGACTATTTTAAAGTTAATGATAATTTAATCTCTCTGCTTGATCAGTCTATATTTTGTTGCTGCTAATCCAGTGCAGGCAGTTAGCCTGGGCTCTGGATGCAAATCAGGTCCTTGTTACAATGAGATTATTTAGGATGATTCTCTTTTTAAGGCTTTTCTAAAACCTTGAGATGATAGGCTCGCTTTACAACCTGTATATTTGATTTCAGATTTTGAATCAATGGTTCTCCTGAATTTCCAGGTGATCTTTGCATTGCCCCTGTTGCCACCTACAGAGAGCTACAGTGCAGTTGGTAATCTATGTGCACATACAGGTCTCCCTTGCTTTATGTGGGTTCTGTATGTGCGAATTTGCTCTTATGCAATAACCTTTTTTTAAACCAAAAATTTGCTATATGTGAGGTAAATTCACCCTTATGTGATCAGAGTGGTAGAAGCCTGCAGTCAGCTGCTTTGTGTGGTGCATTGTGGGAGTGACACTCACCAAAATATAATCTACGAGGATCTGAGCTCCTCACTTGTTGTCTGTGACATGTGTTTCTGTAGTTCCCATCCCCATTATGGCTTCTAAGCTTCCTGCTAGCTTATCTCCTACCCCTCTCCCTGGTCCATCAATGAAGCGCAGGAGAACTTCACAAACACTGGAGACCCTTCACCACCCTCTCTGCACACAACTAAGCATTCACTACCACTCTGTGCTTGTGCGTACTGTCTGCTGTTGGTGAGTACCAAGATTGTCTTGTAAAAGTGATAGAAATGGATTGGGGGGGTCAGTACAGTAGGGGTCTTGGAACTTATCCCTATTTGTTACATTGTAAAGTGGGTTCCCTTTATGTGAATTAAAGTGATGCGCTGTTTTCCAGGAACACATGTACAGCATAAAGCAAGGGAAACCTGTACAGTAGATTATGTATAAGACGTACTGGGGTCCTCTTGAAAAAAGGGAACTATAACAACGTAAGGGATTATCACAGCACCACACAGAGATACCACATCATTTGCCTCCTCCCCTCATATAATACATTAGGTTTTTAAGAGATTTCTTCAAAATGAAACTAATCTGTTTGAACAGAGAAAACTGCTGAGAATGAAAAGTAAATTAACTAGACTTTCCTTCAGTGTTAATAAAAAGGTACTGCTAGGGACATAGATACGGATTCTGGCCCCAGTCCTCATCCATGCTAGAGTCCTTTTGCTCCACTGAAGCAGCACAAAGCAACCCTATCGGCAATGCACCCTGCTCTAGAATTTGCATTCAGTACAGTGCATGCTCCACCAGGATGGAGGCTGTGTTAGTCTCAAAAGACCAAGGAGTTAAACTTATACAACAATAAAGCTTGTTTATTCAGAGAGCTGCCTTAGCCTACTGATCTGCTGTTCCCTTGGGTTCCCTCCTGCAATCCCTGAGCCAGTGTAACAACTTATACATAACACTCTTAAAAGTATCCACACTTCTTTCCCCTTTTACATGTAACATATTCCCATGTAATACTAACTTCGGAAGTTTAGTTCAACCCATTGTTATAAAACATTTTAACAGGTCTCTAGCAGTCTTTGTGTTGGCTTTTTAGCTTTAAGTGATCTTCTCAGTTTCTCTGCATTCTCAGTCCTTATTGGCTCAGTTCTTGTATGGTTTCCTTGTTCAGATATCTCTACTTCTGTGCCATTTTCAGTCTCTCTATCGTTTCTTGTTGCTAGTGTCATAGTGATGGTGTGGGGAGGGGGGACATGCCTCTGGTCGCCAGCTTAGGAGGTGTGCTCGCCAGACCCTCCAGGGAATGCTCAGTCCCCTGGTGGCACTTCCAGTTTTGCTGCTGGCATTTCTTGGCTCAGCAATTGACAGCTGGGGGACCTTCCCCTCTTCCCTCCCATCCCCCCTCTCCCGCTGGGCAGTCAGCTGTGGATGGGGGGCAGGGGCCCAAAAGTAAGCATTGGCCCTCAGGTGCCAAAGACCCATGCTATGTCACTGCTTATTGCTTTGTTGTTAGCTCTGTTTCCTTTGCTGAATCTAGTGATTCTCCTTCTTTTCTCCTCTTTACAAACTTCAAGTGTCATCTGTTCCTTCTTAACACTTGTCCTTCCAGTATGACTACTTTATAGGATCTGGGAGCTACTTGATGGAACACTAGTGTTTGTTGTTTCCACGTTCATCCATCTGAAATAAGCACCATATCTTTGTTGTTAAGTTGTGGTAACTCCCTGGAACTCCTGTCATAGTACCATTTTTGTTTGAGTTTGATTTTTTTTTTTTAAATGTTTTTATGTTTTGCTTTTCATTCTGATGAGCATCATCCATAAGATTTGGCAGCCTACTTGATATCACAATGCTACGGGCTACTCCATGACCATCATAGGCTCTTTTCTTTGCATTGATCCATACTTCAGTCATGTTATACAAGCCTTTACAGCATCTTCTATGTTCTTCATGCCCAGCGTCTTCATGTTGGGCAAATATAGAGCACCCTTTGCTCTCCGTTTGCATTTTTCAGTGCCTAGATGCCTCTCATGTATTCTGTTTAACATCTCTTTCTTTAGCACAGCTGGAACAAGAAGTCATGAGCCCTTGAACAAAATGCCATCCAGTACTGACAGCTCTTCCTTGAACTGAGGATAGGGGTTAGGTATACGTTTTCCAGGCCAACCAGCACAAATAGCTGTTATCACTTTTTGTAATGTGGTGTTCTAAGCAGTAAATTTGGAGAGATTAAAGGGTCTCCCGATTTGATTTGGATTCAGAGATTCGGCCACCGAATTGGGCCAAATCTCCGCCGAATTGAATCAGTGACCAAAGCTTCGCACAGCTCTTAATAGACACTCTGACTTAAGGAGTGCCCTAGATGCATATGCTACTGGTCTCCAGCTATCCCCATGTTTTTTAAACAAAGCTGCTCCAATGCCTTCTTTAGAAGCATCTGTTGACAATTTAATGGGTCTTTTAGGGTTACAGAATTTTAGTACTGAAGCTTTCATTATTTTTTCCTTCCAAGTTTTTAAATTCAATTTCATGTTCGTGTTCCCATATCCACTGAGCATTTTATTGTAGGAATGATCTAAGGTGTTTGGTCTGCTCTGCTAAATTAGGTAGATATTTCCCTACAGAATTGATCATTCCCAGTAATCTTTTCACTTCTTCCTTATCCTTAGGGGATGTCATGTTTGTAATGGCTTTAACCTTTGCAGGATCAATTTGCACCCCTTTCTCAGAGAGCTTTTTCTCACAGATATGTTGTTTCTTTTACCCTGAATTTGCATTTTTGTTTGTTCAGTTTTAAACCTGCCCAGTGAGCTCTTTTTAGTGCCTTTCTTAGCCTCAAATCATGTTCTTCCATAGTATTTCTCCAAACTAATACATCATCAATATAAACCACAGTTCCATCAAGACCTTCAAAAAATTGTCGCACCTTTCTGTGAAATAGTTCAGATGCAGAGCAGTCCAAAAGGAAGCCTATGAAAGCAATACCTTCCGAAGGGTGTATTGAAAATATGTAATCTAGTGCCATTCTTTTCTAGGGGAACTTGCCAAAACTCAGAAGAGACTTCCAAAGTGGAGAAATATTTAGCTTCTGTCATGTTGCCAAAAGCCTCTTCTCTGGTGGGAATGGGAAAATACTCCCTTTTGATGGATCTGTTCATTTGCATAGTAGCCAGACACAATCTCAAAGACCTATCTTTTTTTTCCCATTATGCCCAGTGAATGAACCCAAGCAATTGGTTGCTCTACTTCTCTATTATGTCCTATGTTAACTAATCTATCTAATTCCTTTTTCAGTTTCTCCTTTAGTACAAAGGGAACATTTCTTGAAGCATGTATGGTGGGAGTATTTGGTTCTCTTAATTCTATCTTGTACTCAATTGACAGCTCCTCAATGCCTTGAAACACATCATAAAACTCTTCTTCTATGTTTTTGCTTTCTAGTTCCTCAATAACATCCATTCTCATAATCGAACCTAGAGTTTTTTGCATGTTCACAATCCAATAATTGGCACTAGCTTTCCTGGGACTGTTACAAACTGAATTTTTACTATATTACCCTTGTGTTTAACATGCAATGCACAAACACCCTTGCTTGCAGCCGTGTTCCCATTATATGCTCTAAGTCTTACTTTCTTATTCTCATGGTACACAGGTTTAGTTTTCATTTT